GTAAAGGCAGTATTACACGAATATTCCATATATTAATACTTTTAATTAACATGGATTGATCAAAGAATCCATTTAAACATTTATTTACGTATTTCTATATTCATCATTTATTTTTACTCTCCTTTTTTATTATCTTTTCTCTGTTTGGTAAAGTGAAAGGGGCTGTTAAAATCCCAGTTGCCAATTGATAAAAAAAAATATCAAAACCGGGACAACAATCGTTAGAAAATAAAAATGAAAAAATTGATTGTTCTAATCTCTCTCTCATCTTTCGTTTAGTAAGTTTGCTCTGTTTTTCCCCTTTTATCAGAATTAAATGCTTCTCTCCCAGGTTTTGACGTGAGACAGCATGGCAGGGGTGGAGAAAGAGAGAGAGAGAAGAGGAGAGAAGAGAGAGAAGAGTAGGAGACACTAGAGAAAGAAATAATAATATAATGATTAAATAAAAGAAAAAAAAAAAAAAGACTGAGGTTGGAGAAATAAAGAAAAAAAGACGATTTGCAGAGGAGAACATGCAGCAAGCTGAGGCATAAACTAATATTTAGAAAGATGGTAAATGAGGATCGGAGAAAAAAAAAAATATAATGTGATCCCAGCCTTCTTCGTAGAGATGGGTAAGGAAGTCTGTGTTGATTGAAAGAGTAGAGGATTAGAAGGTTGTGCGGTTGGAAGTGGGCGGTACGGAGTATTGGAATAAGAATTAGAGGAGAGAGATGAATGTGTGTTTGTTACCTGCTGGGGTGGTGAGTGGGGTGGAGGATATAGAGTAGAAAGATGAGAAAGATATAGTCTTACTATATGGACTTTTTTTGGTCAAAAGTGTATCGAGTAGTATTGCGTGGGTTTATGTTGTGGGTAAAAGAGGAGAGAGAGAGAGAGAGAGAGATAAGAGTAAGAGGAGTAGAGTAGAGGAGAGTAGGAGCGTTAGGTGAGAGAGTAGAGAGAGAGAACGAGTGAGAGAGAGGAGAGAGAAGAGTAAGAGAGAGAGAAGAGAGAGAGATGGAGAAGAGGGAGAGGGAGTAAGAACATAGAAAGGAGGGAGGGAGTAATGAAGGGGGATGAGAGAGAAGTAGAGATGAGAGGAGAGAGAGAAGTAGAGAGAGAGAGTTAGGAGTGGGTAGTATGTAGAGAGGTAGAGAGAGAGAGAGAGATAGAAGTGAGTAGTGGTGGAGGAGTAGTGGGTGAGAGGAGTAGAAGAAGAAAATATGAGTTGGAGAGGGAATTGGGAGGAGATCGAGAAAGAGAAGGGGAGAGAGGTAGGGGGAAGGAGCGGGAGAGAAGTAATATTGGGTATAGGGAAGGGTGAGGGAATAAAGGAGAGATGGATGAGGGGTGAGGGAGAGTGGAGAGTAAGGGGGAGAGAAGAGGAGAGAGAGGAGAGTAGAAGAGAGCAGAAGACAAGAGAAAAAGAAAGAGAGAGAGAGAGAGAGAGAGAGGAGAGATAGAGTAGAGAGAGAGA